ACACAAAGGAAAAATGAACTGTAGAAAACTTAGAGAAATAATTCCAAAAGTCTCTGGCATTGTATACATGTTTCTAGTAAATATTTTTAACTCTTAAATGAAATCCTCTTTGTCTCTCCCCATATTCTGCAGCTAACTCATGCTGTTTAATCTGTTAAGAAATTCAAACTGCATCACAGTATGTTTAGTTAGTGTAGTAACAGTGTGTTTGCAAAAGAGCATAGTCCGTATGATATAATTTGCTAAGTTATGGTGCAAATTTTGGCTTGAGCCTACTTAAAATGAGAAGACCTTTTCTGGGATAAAGAATCCAGCAGCTGTATTACTCTTATGGCATCTTTGTAGTTTCTTTCTTTGCTTCTTGGAGAAAATGCAACCATAACTGAATTTCTTTTGTTATTAACAAATATTATGCATGCCAATATCCCGTGTTATTCTAATTATGAAAACTTATTTTTTTGTGGTTGCTTTGTTTATCATATCGCTCTTCTTGTGAAGTCAGGCAATGCAGGTAAGAGAGGCAAAGTTTTGCCTGTGAGAATCGCTAGCAAATAAATAATGAAGGAGCTAAATATGATCATACAGAATTTCGTGTGTTATTATATATTACATGAAAGCTTGTTCTATATATTGACATGATTGTCATGAATTATTCCATTTTATATACACTTGTGTTTCGTTGTCAAAATTGTAATTGAAAGTAGTATGTGCGTGAAATATAAAAATACTGAATAATTTGGGAATCGTAGTTAATTTGTCAGTGAATCTCTTTCAATTGATAATATACATATTTAATATTCTGAGATGAAATTTTCTACTGCATTATATAGGTCACAACTTTAATCATAAGTCATAGCAAAATACACATTTGCTTTAAAGTAGTTCAGTGGAATTAGTGAAAGCAGCCTAGATCCCCTCATAAGCTATCTGAAGCTAAGCCAAAAATAGTAGATGTTAATTCCATTTCTATCCTAATCCCTTCTCCGCTTGTCTAACAATTTTGTATATATTCATGGCAGCATATTTACCTCAAAGTTCATGCTTTCTAGTTTGTGTGTTCAGATGCAGATTTTCTCCTAGTTTCCAAACTAAAATCTTTCAGATCAACTCAAAATCAACAAAGGTATTTTTGAGAAAAATTAATCTCCTCGAAATGATATATTTAACGTAAAAAACTAAGTTAAGCAAAGCAGCCTTCTCTGCCTAGCATGCACAAAATAAGAAGTTTCAGCTCCCTAAATACCCACTAAGTCAGCTCTGCTTATATCCACGTTCTGTATGAGTAATCTACTCCGAATTAGGTGACTCACGAAATACAATGGCATTGCGTTGTCTGTGAAATTAGAGATGTTCATGTGTTTTTGTTTGTTGGGTTTTAAAAAAATTTTGCACACCGTTCTCAATTCCTCTGCCTGTCTCCAAGCGTACAAGTGTTGGTACACCCGTTAAGATACGTCTGCTTCTTTGCACTTTCAGAAGTCATCTGGATGCAATCTCCTGAATTCACGTAGGAAGGGACAGCTTCCTCACGTTTGTAGATGCCACATTGTCTCTCTTCTCTGGGGATGTAAATGTATGAGTAACTTTGGAGGGTCAGCTCCAGGATTTTGCATGTAAAATGGAGAGTTTGGGGATGTGGGTATGGAATTACATGCTCTTTCCAAAGCCTTATGAAGAAAAGCACTGCATGTGCAGATTCGCTCTGGGCTTATGCCACTGATAAGTCTGTATTACTGCAGAGGGGGGTGGTCTTTTCCCATCTCCTCCCTGTGCTGACGTAAGTGATTGGTGTGGCTAGGCGTTCAGCTGGACTGGCGATCTGATGTAGTGAGAGCTAAGGTAGTTTAAAAAAAAAAAAAAATCATTTGGATCAGCAAGCTGATGTTGTTTGGGGCGCACCTGCGTGCTCACTAGTGCTGATGTGAAATGCAGGGGCAACATTGGGCTGCAGCAGCGATGAGCAAAGGCTGGGACTACCAGACGTTTGTTCCGGTACCTGTCACCCTCCTCACAGGACTTCATGTATGCAAATTGGCTTTGGGCCCTATCTGTGCCATGTGGGCAAGATGTGACAGTTGTGTCAGGGCTCAGGGGTTGTTCCAGCGTCAGGAAGAGGGGCAGGGAAGGGAAAAGAACAGATGGCCTATAAATGGGGAAGCGTTCAGGCCATCAGTGAAAACTGAACTTTGGATTTCAACGTAAGAGGAAAGTGCATTATTCTAAAGCAATCTGATTCATCTTTTGGGTTTTTTTCTTTTTTACTTCCCCCGCCCCAATCCTTGAGTGTGTCCTAAAGTATCTGGTGAGATGATGGCTTGTTTTGTTTTGTTTTTGTTTTTTGACTGGTAATTGTTTGTTCCCATTGTGTTTAAGGTCCAAAGTTCATAGGATAATATTTATAACTGTGCGAGCATTGAACGCTTGTATAGCTGAGCAAAAGTGATATCAAAATGGCAGCTATACTTGCTGGTTATCATGTTATATATGCATATGCACGTGCAATATATATAATATTATCCCATGTTTGGTGATGATTTCAGCTGCAATTAGAATCCATCTGGGTATTGCACTGGACGTTGTTTTCAGTTGTGTCATTATATTTGGACTGTTTTTAATCATGTGAATGTGTTTCTGCTTCACAGAAGCAGATGGTGAATCATCAATCTGAAATGTGTTATCATTTCTTCCATTTACATAGTTTTCTGCAAAAATGTTGCATAAAAGGATCAGAGCTCTTGGTGTCTGCGTATGTTTACATGTTTGAATCTTGTAAACTTTGTGAGAGAGCTCTTTAAACCTTCCACTGCCCAGTTTCATCTGCAGCATGATATCTTTGAAGCTGCTTTTCACCTGAGACTCAACATTTGTGGCTGAGGATTTCCATTATTAAATGTTGTTTCATCCCAGTGTGTGTGAGAGCCTTTGCAGGTATTATCTTTTAAAGAGATTAAATGCAAGTTCTTCACCTTGCAGACAGCTATGCTCTGGTGTTTAATCCTATTGACTCCTTTGAACTCTGTGTGGCAGACTATACCCCTCTGTGTAAGTGGCAGCAGGATGGGTTATCATGCTGGAGAAGGAGAGGAGAGAAGTGTTTCAAAACTGTCACTTTCCCAGAGCTTGCTTCACTTCTAAGTGCTTCTGAACAACATGTGGAAATACAGCTGTGGCCAGCCTGGCAATAAGTAGTTGCTTTTGATTATTCTGGCTGTACTCAGCAGAGCCTCTAACTCAAGAATCTTAACTTCCATTCCCAGAAGCAAATATGCATAATTCCTTGCTATTCTTGGTTACCACCAGTCTGCGGAGTCCCGCTGGCCTAGAGGCTGCATGGAGTACAGAGCAGACTTGGTGCAGACAGAGTCCATAAGGAGTTTTAACTTCTAACTGAACAAACATGTATGAGGAGGGGAAATTGCCTTTTGTTGGCATACAATTTTGTCCAAAGTTGAGTGACTCTTAATGCTAGAGGGTATTGCTGCCAACTGTGAGTTCTTGCTGCAAAGCATGGTAGCAAGAAGGTTCTCAAAGAAGTGATTGAAAATATTGTTATTTTTAATGCTGTCTTGCTCAGTTTAATTTCACTATGAAAAGTAGCCAAACCAGGCAGATTTCAAGTGATGGGAAAATTGCAGCCTGCACTATTAGCTTGCCAAAGTTAGCAATGAAAAGGGAATTACAAGCATAAATACCAATTGCTGTCTAGCTCAGAAGTAGAGCTCTCGCTCTGTGAATGGAGCAAAAGGCATGTTCTTTATCGGTTATGATGGGAGCTGACTCTCTGAGTCTGTACATATCATAATAAAAGGATCGCCACCAGCTTATCACAGAGAAGTTTGAATGGGATCCCTTGCCTTCCTTAAGACACTGGTCTCTCGGTGTTACAAGTGAACTCTTCTGTTACATTTACAGAGTGTTTCTGCCCACCGCTTGCACACGGCATTCTTGTTCCATGTGTTCATTTTTTCCTTAGTGATACAGTTCACAAGAAATTGTAAACATTTCTGTGGGAGTCCTAGGAGGGCAGAGTGTGTAGAGCACATCTGATGGAAAGTTCTCTAAAACTGGGACTTGTAGCTCCCCCTATATTTCTGCACAACAAATACCCAGTATTACTTGATCTGAAAGCTTTATCTGAGGCAGTGAATAAGTACTATCACTAGATTTTACTGTTCAGTAAAATGGGTTCTCCTGAGCAAAGATTTTATATTTTTATGCGTATATATATATACATACACATACATACATACCCACCCACCCACCCACCAGCATACTAGTAGAACAATTTGTTACACAAATGCTGAAAGACCTGTGTGACACCAGGCAGGAAGGTGAGGAAACAGCGTAAGGCTTGGTTCAGCCAACAAAAATGGACCGCTAAATCTGGTTAGATTTAAAAGCTTCCACTACAACCTTTCTTAAATGTGAAAGTGGTGACTTAAACGTTAATAACTCATAAGGATAATGGAGATAAAAAGATAGTATGCTAACCAGTAGATGCAAGTGTATTCTAACAGCAGAAGTGACTTGAGTGCACTACAAAAGGACAGAAGAGCTGTAATGTTTTGGTTAAAGATTTGTTTTGTTTTTACTTAGCTTCCGGTGCAGTGGATATTTACCTTCCACAGACAGTATAAACTTGCGGATTGCCAAGGGCGATTGGTACAAAAGCCACCAAACCATGCCCTGAAGCATGCACCCTTAACAGACTGTACTGAGATGCAGACTTTCCATCCAGCTCACTGGGGCCTAGGGGAGTTACCCCTCCGGCGTTTCACTGGATCCCTCTTTGCTGCCACCTCCTATGGCAGCATATGTAGAGACAGAAAATGGAAACAGATTGCTTTGAGCAGGTAGAGACTATATAGTGCAGTGCTTTCCTAAAAGTATCTGTGAACTGTGAAAAGCAAGAAGCCCAGGCAGTAGGTCAGTAGAGACTATAAGTAGTTCCTAGTGCATGTATTTCCTCCTTAAATTGCTTCTTTTCCTATTTCTTGCAGATCTCTCTGTTTCACCATGTCAGCTGACAGCCACCGGCTCCACACTCGTTCCCGCCAGGAGACACTAAATTCTACTTGTTATGGCCCCTTGAATATCAGCAGTCATCCGCTGTCGAAGAGCTCCTCGAGTCTGCTATGTACTGGGCAATCAGGTTCAGAGGAAAGGCAAAGCAACAAGCAGGAGCTCAAGAAGAGCCACAGTAGCACTGTGTGCCAAACCCTGGGGTACGGGAGTGATGCCAGTAGCATGACGAGTCCTAGACAGTCCTTCACGCAGTCTGGGGTGATGGGACGTGGATCAGTAGACCGAACCATGAACGATCAGTCAGCTGATGACACTGCACACAACAGAGCTAAGACTACAAACCATTTTCTACTTGCTGACCAGTCCCCCACAGCCTGGGAGATGGAGGAGACTAAGATGTGCGTCAGGAGCAGCACTGCTGAGATTGTTTCTTCTGCCTGCGTCATACACCCACAAAGCACGTGTAAAACGGAAGAACCAGGAGCTGGCCTTCAGAGAAGCCACTCAGACCTAGCTTGCAGCTGCAAACAGCAGAGTCATGTCACTCACATAGAAACCAGTGCCACTCGCTCCAGCCTAATCTCTTCTAGCAGCAGGCATGGTCCATCAGTGGCTAGGCTGTCTTTCCAAACGCAGAGATATGGATCAGAAACAAATGAAAATACTCCTCGTTATCAAAACCTTGTAAGTCACCTGCCAGCTCTACCTAGAGACCAAAAAGTACCGACAAATAGCTTTGACAGTGGTGGTATTCCACGTAATACTACTGTTTACACAGATCCCGGAACGTTTCACACTGCTGTTCTAGGACCCCACGTGCCTGGAAATGGTTTCTCAAACAGGACAATATTCTGTCAAGCCACTGGGATTATGCAAGGTGGTCGGGCGAACAATAATATTCCAAACTGTGCGTACTCACCCATGGTGATGACAGTTAACAATTCTGCAGTGCCCTGCAACGTAAGGCAAGAATCTTGTATGAAAGTAGATGCCACCGTCCCTGCCTATTGCCATTCTTTGCCCATACCATCTCTACAGCTTGTTCCACAGTTGGTATGCTCAGTTAGTGAGTCAGGAAAAGAGCAGGCAGCATCTGGCTATTGTCATTCCTTTTCTACTTCAGACATTCTCACGTATCCCAAGCTGGTGTCATCAGTAAGTGAATCGGGCCTGGATGCCCAGAGAGTCCTGAAGTGCTGTAGTGTTCCTGGAGAACAACTGCAGCATGCTCCACACTGTGCTCAGCAGGGCAGAGCTCCTCCAGAAGCAAAGCCCACCTGTATTGCCTTTAATAGCCAGCAAGGGGCAGGCACGATAATGAAAACTAAGGACATGTGGACTATGACCTCTATGAATGATTTGACCAAAGGACTGAAACCGTCTCTGGAGCATAGAGATGCCGAGGTACAAACTCTTCCAACCATGGAATACAAATCTGTGGCCACAAGCCCAGCAGCTGCAGCAGAAAGCCAGCTGCATGTGTTCCCAGAGGTGAACCTGGAGCCAGACTCAGAGGCCCCCAAATCTCCGGTGCGTGAAGTGAGATGGGATGATGAAGGAATGACATGGGAAGTGTATGGGGCATCCATGGATCCGGAAGTTCTTGGTTTCGCCATTCAGAAACATCTTGAGATTCAAATAGAACAATCCCAGACAGGGCCTGCTCGGCTGGCTGGGAAAAGTAACAAGGATCCTTTTGCTAAGGAGCCGTCTTCTGCTAAACTGAGGAAGAAAAGACCATTCCGAACAATGATGCCTTCTCTAAGATACCCGAGCTGTTGTGCCCGGTCCAGCACTGCAGTGGAGTGAGCACAGCTGTATGACAGCTGTGCTTCCTTTGAACTGTAAATAAATGCCAATTCTTAAAGGTTAACATAGTGCACGTGGACAATCCGCTCACTTCAGTATGAGCTGGAACAGTGTGAGTGACCGAATACACAGCACAGCACAGCAAGGAAAAACCCATGCATGGGCCATATAACAGAGGACTCTAGGATTGTACCTACCTAATGCTATCTGAATGCTCTTGACTGTATTTAATGTAGCACTTAATGTTATAAGAAATAAGACTACTTTTCTAAATGATGCATCTTTTAAAAATCATGTTGAATTTCTGTGTTTTAATAATTTACAATTAGGTAGCAGTTAGAAAATAACACTTTAGTCAAAGTTCTTATCATTAAATCCTACTTCCTTCAGTTATTTTGGGAGCTATTTTGCTGTTAATTTATGACAACGCTGACTATAAACACACTTTAGCAATTGGTAACAGAGCAAACTAGTGTAATGCTATATTACAAATAAACGTAACTTTTGGTATGTAATTCTGCAAAGTACTTTCAATATTGCTAGCTTGAACTCATCCTTTTGCGAGCTGATTTATAGTTGGAGGATGCTACTGCAACTCTCAAATTAGTTTGTAGTTATGATGAATTACATTCTAAATATCCAGAGCTGATATTTAGGCAGTAAATTGGCACAAACGTACAGTACTACCAAAGATGACTCATGTAATGTGAATTTTGTTATTGAATGCTTGTTTCTTAAATCCATGAGACGAGCTGTTCAGATTAGTCACACAGTCATACCCGACAAATTATGAGCAGTTTTATTTTGCTTATATTAAAAGTAATTTCCAGGGAATTATTTTTGTGTGCATCTATGCTGAACAGTGGTTATTTTGTTGCTATATAAGCTGTAGGCAATAGTTTGCATGTAGCCTTTACTCATCGTGTATTCCCTGCCTGTTCTGATGTCAAGCATCTGCTGAAAGTGAGCCTTCCTGTCTTCCCCAAAGTGCAACTCAAAACTAAGATTATTTGTTCTGAGTGACTTGATCACATGGGCAGCTTAAAACCTTCTTTTCTCCCAAACGTATAATAGCAAAAATATTCCCAGTGAGGAACCACTTTTATACTGCCCTGCAGCAGCAGTGCAGTGCCTGTTTGAAATGAAAGATGTGTTATAAAGGCTGAGACCGTTATTTCCATGGCATTGCATGGCACTGCTAAGTGTCTGAGATTCTCTGGGAAACTAGGCATGGAGAGAGAGAGGAGGAACATTCATTTCTGTCTCAAGGGAAAAGCTTCAATGTCAGAGAACTTACTGCTGTGGAATTACCCATTCTTTCTTTAAATGTGTTCGTCCTGGCTCCCTATAGCAATAACGTAGTAGGCTGTCTACATAACATTAACCTAACATTTATGTATGAACGGAAGCCCCTGATCCTCAGGACAGTTATACAATTTCATCCATACAATCCTTAAATATAGGATCTACTAGCTGGAATGTGCTGTGATGTACATTATTACATTAATAATGTACAGTATTTCAAGATCAAACTTTCATTCCTGGGCAAAGTGGAATTAAACAGACCTGGCTCCTGTGAAACTTCAAGCCTTGCAACATTGGCCTGAATCAAGTCTGTTGAACTCAAACTTGAGTTTTATACAAATCAAGTCGAAGGCAGGTGGAATATGACCCAATACTTAGTAGGCTTTACAGTTGTGAGCGTCCAAGTTGTGATAACGACCCTAGATTCTAAAGTTACTTTTGTTATAGCTTTACTAGTATAAAAGTAATTAGTAGCTACCAGAAAATAACTTCCACTGTTACTTATTCAGTATTTAGCTGAACAGATTCCATATAGGCTTATTCTATGGTCAGAGTATCATAAGTACTTCTTCCTTTCTGTAAATATTAAGCACTATAAGGCCTAAAACTTTTTGCTGTCTGTTAAGCTTGTCCTTAGGTGTGCTTTTGGCAGGAGGATTAAAAACGAGAAACGAAGTAAAAGTTTAACGTAGTAACTGGATCTCATTCCTGTGACCATCATAATCCATACTTTATCTTTAAAGTATTTGACATGCAGCATAATCTTAATTCCCCTTCTTCCTCCTACCTCAAGCCCCCCCTACAAAAGAAGCCCCAACTCTAATAAGATCCTAAAATAGAACTGATTATCAAACCGAATAGAAGGAAATCGGGAAACCCAGTGGAAGTTTGCAGAAGTGGCCAGAACAATACAACAGTCTTTTCAGTTCTTTAGTTCCTATATGCTATAAGAGCAGGGGAAGCTCTTGGATTTCACACAGCTTTGGTGTGAATTACCTAGGTTTTATGCTTCAGTAGAGATTTGCTATTACAGTACCAAACACTGATTATCATTCCTGGATGAGAAAAATACGTGTCAAGCAAGGGGAAAGAACACCACTGTTTTGCTAATGAAGAAAAACAGATGCTCCCTTGTTCCAAGCACTGTTAGCTCTTTAGGATACTGATTTGAATCGCTGTTGGTAACAAAAATAACGTTTGTGTCTGAGAATTTCCTATGCTTTTGGAAAGGATTAAAATATAAGGGATATTGATGGAGATTTAGAAAAAATACATATTCATCTGAATATTGACTATATGGATAAAATGTGTAAGCTGTTGCAGTCGTATGATGGATGCCCCTTAAAAAAGGGAATATGGATTCACTTTGCAGTTGGATTCCAAAAGTCATTTTAAATTTCAGATTGTACATTGACTATTTTTCATATTAGGCCTCTCTTCAAGTGTTATTCTTGTAAGTGTTTCTAATAACTGAGATTAGTGTTGCAGCAAGAATTGTATCTCTGTTTCTTTGAATGTTTTCTAATTTAGGAAAATCCAAAATTTGATTACATTCTACTTTTAAATTTAAATGAAGCAGAAAGAGAACTTAACTAGATTCTCCTCTGGCCTCACACTGCTGGAGGAGACCCTTTTTTGGCTACAGCCTGGATCCTGAGCCGGTTCTGTTCAGGATGGCCCCAAATCTCATCCTTCATGCATAGGTTTTGCTTTAGGACCCCCTGCTCTAGGATAAGCTTCTTTCCTTCTAGATATAGCTTAAGAAATTGCGTGTGTTACATAACAGAGCCAAAAGGCCCTATTGCAATACTGCTCCTGGTCCTCAGAGACAGGAGTGAGGTGGGGAAGAAAGTGCAGTCAGCTGCTCGGTGTCCAACTGTAACCCATCAAGGACGTTTTTGGGGGGGAGGGGGGGAACGTCTCCAGTGTATGTACTGGCGAATATATTTCTTCTTGAGCGCCTCTGTGCTTATAAATAGTAAGAAATAATGGCAAGTTGGACTAATTGCATTATTGGATAGACATTTAGTCTTTTAAATCCAAAGCAGTAATGACCTGTCTGGAGACGTGCTCCGGTAAGAGGCCTTCTGGAAGGATGTTATTCCCTGTTAAAGATGGAAGAAGAAAAAGTGTGCTGCTTTGTTTAGGAAAAGCAATTTACAGTGAGGTTGGAATAAACCAGAATCTTTGTGCAGGGAGCTAGACCCAAGAGCCCCGGTTCCCCACACAGAACAGGGTCAGGTGCCCCCACAGACTGCTCGCCCCTTCCCTCAGGAGGGTTTCCAACTGTGAAATTGCAATGTTAATACTTCATTACCATCTGTTCCTTTCAGAAATGTTGAGGTGATTAATTTGTGTTCTTAAGCTCTTTGAAAATGAAAGCAGTCTATTAGTGCTAAGTAATACTGTTAATTGGCAAGAGAGAAGGCGGGAGCATAAGGATTTCCTAGATGGAAACAAATAATTCCAATCAACTCCCATAGCACAAATGAAGTAACTTGGTGGAACTTGCTGTGTCAACCATTTGTCTTTCCTTTTTAGGGAACTTCAGGACTCGAAGAATGAAGCGAGAGTTTTGGTTTCCAAGTTTTCTTTCTTTTCCCGGTGTTCAGAACTACAGGATTTGAAACGAAGAGCACAACATGCCCAAGGAGCTTCTTTCCAAAGCCTTGTTATTTAAATGGCTCACCATTTTGCTGGTCCTCTGCGAACAAGGAGAATCTGACTGTGGGCCTCTGGGCAGAGCCCTTGGCACCTCCTGCCTGCAAATGCTGCATGCCTGCTAAGGGATGGAGGTGTGCTGTTTCCTGGCAGCCTTACTGTTTGGGGCCTCCCACTCCTATGCCTTTCTAAAGGGGCCAGCTCTAGAGAGCTACGTGATTTATGAAGGGCAAGACGCAAGAGTGCTTTGTGGGCGTCTTGGGGGTTAGCAAGGCTTGCATTCTCACTCGAAAAGAAACTTGCAGCCAAAACTTCTGCCCGGTACAAAAATGGGTGTGCTCCTTGTTCACTTCGGAAAGCTAAAATGAGCGTATCTGTTTTCTGCCTGCGCTCCTGCTCTGTGGGGAGCTGTGCTGTCTCTTCTTCTGGTGGCTCCTTTGCAGAAAAGGAAAGGTCCTTGGAGATGGGGCTAAACTCATTGAAGTCCCAGTGAAGGACTAAGTGTCCGGCCTCCTGTGGCATTTACTGCTGGTCTGTGACGGTGAAGGGATCGGCTATCCTTTGCCATGGTCACTTGGATGTCCAGTTTCCACCTTTCTCAAGCTCTAGAAATGACGAGTCTCGAGCTGATAGCCATCCCTTGTACAAGGGCCAGTATGTTCAGATAGCAGAGTACTAAGCTATAGCTTGCGAGTTTTTTGGAAGCATTAATCCTATCTCGTATGCGACCTAAACAGATGTTGTCTATCTTATTATCAGCCTTTCAATATGCTACGCTACAGGCTATGCTATCCACACAACACACAAAGGAAATTTTGAAAACCGAGGGGGAAAAACGCAAGTGAGGAAATGACACTGCAAACCTATCTCGTTCCTGTTCACTTACTAGCAAAAAAACCCACCTCCCACAACAGTGAACCACCCAGCAGTGCAGGCTTTGAGCGGTATAACAAAGGAGCGATGTTGTTCTCCGTGGTGTTCTCCATGTGGTTAAAGGTAATGCAGTTTAATGAATCTGGGTCAAGAGCTTTCTGTGAATTAAAGGGCAGGGATGTGGCTGGCCAGGAATCCATCTCCTAGCTCCACCTGGTGCTCAGTGGCTGGCGCACGGCCTGGCAGCACAAACCCGCTCGCTCTTCCCTGAATTCTCATCTCCGCTTGCCTGATGCATTGTTAACTGCAGAGATGGGTTCGTACCGCCCTGCTCAGTGGACCTCACAGAAACCCCGTTTTGTTTGTGCCTTCCAGGGCAAAACTGCTGGCGAGAAGCCCTTTACCCATCCCGCCTTTAGCGCTGGCTGCACTGCAAGCTGCTTCACCTCAGATTGGGACTGGGCCAGAATTCCAGCCTGCAGGTAGGTTTAACGCTGTCTAGTGTTCACGTTGTCTGGAAAACCTTACAAATGTCAGTGTGTCAGAGAATCCAATTTTAGCAAAGTCTGTGCACAAATTTGAACTTGGTTATGGTGTTCATTTCTTCCTTGTTTTCACGGTGATCTGTGTTTGCTAAGTGTTACACTTTTTTCAGCATCAACCTCACTCTGCTATAATTATGGGTGAATTTAGCGTCATGCTGCTGTAACTGCTTTCCTAAAAACGATCTTAGAAAAAAACGAGACAAGCACTTCTGAGAAAGCAGACCTTGTTTTGATTGTGCAGAGATGTCTGTTGTTCAACAAGCCACTTTCCACCTCAAATTAGAGTAATCCCTAGAGCCATAATATAGCATAATTGTCTTTATTTTAAAAATGTTCTTTTAAAAGGGAAATACCTACAAGACTACATGAAAGACCAGGCAAAAGTTAGAGGATTACACTTAATTCACAGTCGCACAGTATATAAAAAAAAAAGACTAGCATAAAGCACGTAAAGTTTAGGGTTTGAACCAATAACGTGCACTTCTGGGAATTCTGAGCAAAGGTGTAACGCTCGTTCTTGTGTTAGTGGGCTGTACCTCCTCATGGCTCTCTGTGAATGCAGTCCTGTGAAAAGTTTTAACTGCAGTCTAGTAAACCGATATCTTTATCCACAAAAAATTACAATCTAGAAATATCAGCAGTGTATGACAGAATGGAGGTCTTCTGCAAAGTGAGTCCCTGAGAATGAATGGTTTTTCAGAGAAGATGTCTTGAAGCCCCTGCAAATTCAGTGTCCAATAACTGGGCACAAAACTAACCACTCTCCATGAACCTGCTTATGACCTATCCTCAAAGCAGGCAAACAGAAACTACTGCTCCGTCTCAAAAAACACTTGTCTGCAGGCTGAGATGCGTGAGGATGTTAAACCC